TTGACTTCAATTGTACTAATTTGAGTTCAATTGGAATAATTCGGGTTCAATTAGACTAATTTGACTTCAATTGTACTAATTTGAGTTCAATTGGACTAATTCGAGTTAAATTGGGCTAGTTCGGGTTCAATTGTACTAATTTGACTTCAATTGTACTAATTTGAGTTCAATTGGTCTAATTCGAGTTTAATTGGACTAATTCGAGTTCAATTGTAATAATTTGAGTTCAATTGGACTAATTCGAGTTTGATTACACTATAATTGATCGAGATTGCACTAATTTGTCTTCAATTGGACTAATTCGAGTTTGATTACACTATAATTGACCGAGATTGTACAAATTTGACTTCAATTGGACTAATTCGAGTTCTATTACAATATAATTGTCCGAGATTGTACTAACTGAACCTCAATTGGACTAATTCGAGTTTGATTACAATATAATTGACCGATATTGTACTAATTTGACTTCAATTCTATTAATTTGAGTTCAATTGGACTAATTCGAGTTCGATTACACTATAATTGACCGAGATTGTACTAATTTGAGTTCAACTGGACTAATTCGAGTTCGATTACAATATAATTGTCAGAGATTGTACTAATTGGACCTCAATTGGACTAATTTGAGTTCAATTGTACAAGTTTGACTTCAATTGTACAAATTTGACTTCAATTGTACTAATTTGAGTTCAATTGGACTAATTCGGGTTCAATTGGACTAATTCGAGTTCAATTATACTAATATGACTTCAATTGTACTAATTTGACTTCAATTGTACTAATTTGAGTTCAATTGGTCTAATTCGAGTTCAATTGAACTAATTCGAGTTCAATTGTACTAATTTGAGTTTAATTGGTCTAATTCGAGTTCAATTGGACTTATTCGAGTTCGATTACACTATACTTGATCGAGATTGCACTAATTTGTCTTCAATTGTACTAATTCGAGTTCGATTACACTATAATTGACCGAGATTGCACTAATTTGACTTCAATTGGACTAATTCGAGTTTGATTACACTATAATTGACCGAGATTGTACAAATTTGACTTCAATTGGACTAATTCGAGTTCGATTACAATATAATTGTCCGAGATTGTACTAATTGGACCTCAATTGGACTAATTCGAGTTTGATTACATTATAATTGACCGAGAATGTACTAATTTGACTTCAATTGTATTAATTTGACTTCAATTGTACTAATTTGAGTTCAATTGGACTAATTCGAGTTCGATTACACTATAATTGACCGAGATTGCACTAATTTGAGTTCAATTGGACTAATTCGAGTTCGATTACAATATAATTGTCCGAGATTGTATTAATTGGACCTCAATTGGACTAATTTGAGTTCAATCGTACTAGTTTGAATTTAATTGTACAAATTTGACTTTAATCGTACTAATTTGAGTTCAATTGGACTAATTCGAGTTCAATTGGACTAATTCGAGTTCAATTGGACTAATTCGAGTTCAATTGTACTAAGTTGACTTCAATTGTACTAATTTGAGTTCAATTGGACTATTTCAAGTTCAATTGGACTAATTCGAGTTCAATTGTACTAATTTGAGTTCAATTGGACTAATTCGAGTTCAATTGGACTAATTTGAGTTCAATTGTACTAAGTTGACTTCAATTGTATTAATTTGAGTTCAATTGGACTAATTCGAGTTCAATTGGACTAATTCGAGTTCAATTGTACTAATTTGAGTTCAATTGGACTAATTCGAGTTCAATTAGACTAATTCGAGTTCAATTGTACTAATTTGAGTCCAATTGGACTAATTCGAGTTCAATTGGACTAATTTCATTTCAGTTGTACTAATTTGACTTCAATTGGACTAATTCGAGTTCGATTACACTATAATTGACCAAGATTGCACTAATTTGACTTCAATTGGACTAATTCGAGTTCGATTACACTATAATTGACTGAGATTGTACTAATTTGACTTTAATTGGACTAATTCGATTTCGATTACAATATAATTGTCCGAGATTGTACTAATTGGACCTCAGTTGGACTAATTCGTGTTTGATTACAATATAATTGGCCGAGATTGTACCAACTTGACTTTAATTGTACTAATTTGACTTCAATTGAACTAACTCGAGTTCAATTGTACTAATTTGACTTCAATTGTACTAATTTGAGTTCATTTGGACTAATTCGAGTTCGATTACACTATAATTGACCGAGATTGCACTAATTTGAGTTCAATTGAACTAATTCGAGTTCGATTACAATATAATTGTCCGAGATTGTATTAATTGGACCTCAATTGGACTAATTTGAGTTCGTTGTACTAGTTTGAATTTAATTGTACAAATTTGACTTCAATTGTACTAATTTGAGTTCAATTGTACTAATTTGAGTTCAATTGGACTAATTCGAGTTCAATTAGACTAATTCGAGTTCAATTGGACTAATTCGAGTTCAATTGTACTAAGTTGACTTCAATTGTACTAATTTGAGTTCAATTGGACTAATTCTAGTTCAATTGGACTAATTCGAGTTCAATTGTACTAATTTGAGTTCAATTGGACTAATTCGAGTTCAATTGTACTAAGTTGACTTCAATTATACTAATTTGAGTTCAATTGGACTAATTCGAGTTCAATTGGACTAATTCTAGTTCAATTGTACTAATGGAGTTCAATTGGACCAATTCGAGTTAAATTAGACTAATTCGAGTTCAATTGTACTAATTTGAGTTCAATTGGACTAATTCGAGTTCAATTGGACTAATTTGAGTTCAGTTGTACTAATTGACTTCAATTGGACTAATTCGAGTTCGATTACACTATAATTGACTAAGATTGCCCTAATTTGACTTCAATTGGACTAATTCGAGTTCGATTACACTATAATTGTCTGAGATTGTACTAATTTGACTTCAATTGGACTAATTCAAGTTTGATTACAATATAATTGTCCGAGATTGTACTAATTGGACATCAGTTGGACTAATTCGTGTTTGATTACAATATAATTGGCCGAGATTGTACCAACTTGACTTTAATTGTACTAATTTGACTTCAATTGGACTAACTCGAGTTCAATTGTACTAATTTGACTTCAATTGTACTAATTTGAGTTCAATTGGACTAATTCAAGTTCGATTACACTATAATTGACCGAAATTGCACTAATTTGATTTCAATTGGACTAATTCGAGTCCAATTACAATATAATTGTCCGAGATTGTACAAATTTGAGTTCAATTGGACTAATTCGAGTTCGATTACAATATAATTGATCGAGATTATACTAATTAGACTTCAATTGTACTAATTTGAGTTCAATTGGACTAATTCGAGTTCGATTACAATATAATTGTCCGAGATTGTACTAATTGGGCCTGAATTGGACTAATTCGAGTTCGATTACAATATAATTGACCGAGATTGTAATAATTTGACTTCAATTGTACAAATTTGAGTTCAATTGGACTAATTCGAGTTCAATTGGACTAATTCGAGTTCAATTGTACTAATTTGACTTCAATTAGACTAATTCGAGTTATAAATTATTTTTTTTATTTTTAAATTCAACTTTTTTATTTAAATAAAAAATTAAGTAAAAAATATGTTACAAAATAAACGAATTTTGAAACAGATTTTGAAAATGGATTTTTATTAAAAAATAATTTTTTATACCGAAAAATTTAAATAAAAAATATTTTTTTATTAAAAAATAAATTTTTATACAAAAAATATTAAATAAAAAATATATATTTTTATTAAAAACGGATTTTTAAAATCCGTTTTTAATAATAAAAATTTTTTTTATTAAAAAATAATTTTTTATACAAAAAAAATTAAAATTTTTTTTTATTAAAAACGGATTTTCAAAATCCGTTTTTAATAAAAAAAAATATTTTTTTATTTAATTTTTTAAATTCGAACGTTAAAAAAAATAAAAAATAAATAAAAATAAAAAACGAATTTCCATAATCCGTTTTTCAAATAATTCATTGTAAAACGGATTTTGAGAATCCGTGTTACAACTTAAAAATAAATAAAAAAAATTGAAAAATTAAACACGGATCCGAGAATCCGTTTTGTGGAAAAACGGATTCTGAGAATCTATTTTTCTTTCAAACACAAATTTCGAAAATCCGGCTGTTTGATTTATGTCCACAACATTTTTTTATTTTTTATTTTTGGCCACATAATTTTTTTATTTTTTAATTAAATAAATGTTATTTTGGTATCCGGACCAAATATTTTAGGCACCTTAGGCTAGGTTTTCATACTGAAGTGCCACCGACAGAGAAGACAAATGAAGAAGATAATCAGAACCTCCAGCGCTGTTTGCCCTCGTTCTCACATCGACTCTCGCATAAACGGTAAGGTCCTTAGTTGTTCACTTCATGTATCCAGGACCATCGGTCTTTATGCGTTTTGGGATTTTATATGTGCCATGTGAGAAATTTGGATGAATCAATTGCTGGATCTGAAATTTGAGTTGTCATAGTGTTCAATTAATGATTGATTACGAAATATCGATTTAATATAATTCTGATTCAACTTCACTAGACCTTTTGCGGTAAGCTTTTATCTTGGACTTTACATTTATTTATATATAAAACAGAAGGTTACCAGATGTGTAAATTTTGAGCATTCATGCATACTGCGAGTATAATAGTGTATCGAATGTGCAACTTTGGTTGAACCGAGTGTACTTTGGATGACTGTAGAACATTCGTGTAGTCCTGCACATATCTCCATGCTTTATAGTTCATATTGTAATGGTGGCTTTACTCGATTGTACAACTCAAAACCCCCACTGGTCATAGGAAAAAAGTGAGATACGGTGGAAGAGTTTTTGTGATTTTCCTGCAATTGTGGCTTGACTAGATTTCCTTGTTTCGTTTTGTCACCAGTTTCTGTGTTCGATTTATGCTTGTTGGGAGATTGCCACTGATTAAACTCTGTTCATTCAATAAAGGCCAAGTGTTTGCAAAAAGGTCTGTGTGAACCCAAAAGCATGCCTTCGGTTAACAGACTCTACACTCTTCCAGATAACATCATCATCAGTCACAGTCTCTCATTTCTCTCAATCAAGATCTCTGTGTCGAGCAACATCCTCTCTAGAAGATGGAGATTCATGTTTGCCCACTTCCCAAATCTTGATTTCAATAACATAAGTTGTGATCATGGGACGAGATTCTGGAACATCGTAAACAAGGTTATGCCTAATTCCAGACTGCAGAGCATAAATACTCTTAAAAAAGGACAGCTACAAAGGACGAGATTCTTTAACATCTGCATCCCTCGACCCCAACCCGTTTAGGAATATACTGGTATGTTGTTGTTGTTGTAACTATTATACTTTTTGTTCTTTCTCACACTGATTTTATAAATTGGTTGTAATGTCATTTTAAATATTATTCATATTCTATCTTAGAAGGTGTCCAATATTCTTTATGAAGGAGAAGACAAAGTTTGTGAGGTGTATGCGGGAACACGAACTTCCAGAAGGTGTTTGACTTGCTGCTTTAGGTGGCGGTGGATGGGAAACTGAACCCGGATTGGATGATCAAGAGATTGTTCATTTTCATTGACATGGAATTTGACGAGGTGTCTATGAACCCGTGGGAGACTGATTTTTAGGCGATTGTGAGAAAGTTTGGTGAGAAGGGGTATGAGGATTGCGTGCTTGAGATTGTGGTTTGGATCCACTTCTCCGAGGCCTTGAATGAGGTCGTCAATGCTCTGTATACTCCGGCCAAGAGCGCTGAACCCCAGTTGTACCCCTTAATACCATCGAAGTCCTCTAACAGCCACAACCAGTAAAGTGGGACGCCATCCGCCCGGGAGCCGGGGAAGATGCATGACCCAATGCACCACAAGATAAGGGCCCTCGCCCTCTGCTCGTAAACGATGTCCGGTTGTCCTTCTTGCAACTAAGTATTGCAAGAGAGCTCCAAAGGCCCAATCTTCAACCACTGGCCAGTAACTTCCCACTTGCTAGGGTCCTGTGCTGCTTGCTCTGCCTCGGTGGTGGGAGGATCCTGAGAGTGGTTTTCCATATTAGAAATGATAAAATTGAGTTGACATATATTTAAAAAAAAAATCTATCAAAAAATATACTTGAACGTAAGGCTCAAACCCTAACAAGTCCTTGCACTTCTCTCGCCACTGTAGGGGTGATAGCTCTAGAGTCACTCCCAAAACAGTAGCTCCATCGATAGCAGACCGAACAGGACTTGTACGTCCTGAAGTGTGATGGTGGCCTCTCCGAAATCGAAATGGAACGTGTTCGTCTCTGGGCGCCACCTCTCCACGAGAGCAGTGACGAGGGCGTTGTCGGTTTGGACTCGACCCATTCGAAACATGGGGCCTAATCCAGTCCGGTCGATGGCCCTCCAAACCGACAGTGTCTGCATAGGCAGTGCCTTCCAGAACTGAGTGTCGAAACGACGGTTTGTAAACGTCCTGTCATGACCTCCCGCCACATTCTTAAATACCGCCTCTGCCCGATGTTTGTACTGGAGATATAGAAGACTCTCATCCCTCGAACCGGGATGCACACTGTACTGCTGAGGCTGTGAGGACGACGATGAAGCCATTTATCTACAAACAATAGAAAATTGAATATATTAGGATAAAGTTATTTATTATCTCACACAACTTAACAAATATATTCAATAATATATTCTTATTAAATATATTTTATTTTTTTAATATATGTTTTCAATAATATATTGTTATTTCTTACCTATTATATTAATAAATAAATATACTGAATTGTATAGTATCGAGACAGAGGAAGAAAAACTTTCAACACTTCAAAGTACGATTCATTTTTGCTGCGACTGGAAGAACCCTAGCCCGCCTACATCTGCCCACGCAGCCGCCGACCTCTACTACCCGCCGCCGCCACTCTGTTCTGGAGGAGCTTGACCGAGCACCATGGATTCTTTCGAGATCCCTCCTGGGTAAGGCTGCAATCCTTGTCCTCTGAAGTTGTGTTTGAGTTGGGAAGATGCATGCGCGACCGATTAGGATACAACTAACTGATAAGTATATTTGTTTTTTTTTTGTCGGTACTCGTTAGGATCGATCTGGATGCAGCAGTTAGAGTGTGTGTTCAGATTTCTCATTTCTTAGCAAAGCTAGATGATGGTAGCTGTGTTGATGTGCCAAGGAAATATATTGAGTGGACTGTTGACTATCGCTATTGTAATTTGGATTCGGTGGAGAAGGAACTAGCTGAAAGGGTGAAGTGGGGAGTTGCCAGCATCTTAGAATTTCTGAATTTGACATAGACACTGGTGGAGAAAGGGATTTGGTGGATGATAATGATTTGGCCTGTGCTTTGTCTGAGAGAAAGACAGATCATAAGATTATTTTGTATGTGGATGTGGAGGACAAATTCTTATTCCATGTTTCTAAGTCATGTATTTCAGAGGCAGTCATGAGCAATGCAGCAGTCACAGATGGTAGTACTGAGCCTCATGTGATTGATTGGGACAGTCTTGAGATAGTTCCAATTGCAGAAGAGCATATAGGTGCTGCAGTTAATTTGATGGATGAAGATGCTATGTATGAATTTCTTGGTCTTAAATGTGAGGATGAGAGGGCACAACAAGAAAAGGTAGCAGCAGAAAACCAAGTTGAAGTTGTTACTGATGTAGACCTAGAAGATGCAGCATTGCCAGTTGATGATTTTATCCCTGGGGAGGAAGGTATTGGTTATGATCCGGACAACCCTCCAATGGAAGTTGGTTCCATTTATAGTAGTATGGTAGAATTCGGGAAGGCTGTCCATAAGCATGCTATAAAGGGACAATTTGAGCTTGGGACAGAGAAATCATGTAAGAGTAGATATAGGGGATATTGCAAAGCTGATGGCTGTCCATGGGCCATTGTTGCAAGGTTGATGGCTGATAAAAAGCAAGTCAGGGTAAAACTTAATGCTAACAAATGATACTCCATTATTTCTTCAATCCTAAATGCATCTATGTATTGCTAACTCAAATTTTTTCCATATGGCAGGTTACTGTGAATAAAGGTGAACATTTTTGTGCATCCATCGGAAGAGTGAGAACAAAAATGGCTTCATATCATTGGGTGGCTGAGAAGGCAATCCATTATTTAATGAAGGATTCAAATATGGGTGCAAAGAAATTGCAAAATAAGTTGCAGGACAAGTATCAAGTGACAATTGGATATTGGACAGTTTGACATGGTAGACAGAAGACAGCTGAGAAATTGTATGGTACATGGGAGGAAAGTTTTGCATATTTGTTCAACTTCAAGGCAGAGGTGGAGTTAAGAATGCCTGGAAGTGTTGTACAGATAGATGTCATAAGACAAGGAGATGATGTCTATTTTCGTAGATTCTTTTGTTGCTTCAAACCTAGCATTGACGGTTTCCTAAATGGATGTAGACCATTCTTGAGCATAGATTCCACTGCCCTTAATGGAATGTGGAATGGCCATCTCCCGTCAGCTACAGCCATGGATGGGCACAACTGGATGTTCCCGGTTGCCTTTGGATTTTTTGACAGTGAGACCACTGAAAATTGGACATGGTTTATGCAGCAGCTGCAGAAGGCCATTGGGAATCCACAACACCTAGCTATCAGTACAGATGCTTGTAAGGGCTTAGAGAATGCTGTGAAGGCAGTGTACCCTTGGGCAGAGCACAGAGAGTGTTTTTTTCACTTGATAAGGAATTTTGTCAAGCAATTTTGTGGCCCTGTGTATGACAGAATTTGGCCAGCAGCTAGAACTTTCCAACCTCAATATTATGATTACTGCATGAACAAGATTTATGCAGCAAATAAGAAGGTAAAGCCTTACATGGACAAACATCACTACTTAATTTGAAGTAGGAGCAAATTCTCAACCGAGATCAAAGTTGACCATATCACAAACAATGTTGCGGAAGTTTGGAACAATTGGGTGAAAGAGATTAAGGACCTTCCTATTGCGGAGCTTGCAGACACATTGAGGTCCAAATTCATGGAATTGTATGCAAAAAGGAGGCGAATTGGTGAGAAATTCGATGGTCATGTGATGCTCCCTATTGTTATTCGCCAACTGTACGCACAGAGTAGGCAATTGGGACACTTGAAACTCAAGGAAGGTAACAGGGAGGAAGCACAAGTGACTGAAGTTACTAAGAACCATAAGGTCTTGAGACATGTGGTGGATATTAGGAATCATACTTGCAGTTGCAGGGAGTGGCAGGTCTCAGGGAAACCTTGTCCCCATGCTTTGGCACTCATAGTGTCAAGCAGGAATCCTAAGATGGAAGAGTACTTGCATCCTTACTTTTCAGTTAGGAATTTCAGACTTGCATATTCTGGTGTTATTAAACCATTAACTGACAAGTCGCAGTGGGTACATGTCGACATGGGTTTCAAGTTGAGGCCACCTCTGCAAAAGAGAAAAGTTGGGAGACAGAGGAAGAATAGGATACCTAGCTGCATAGAGTTGAAGGGCAACAAAAATAGGTCCCAAGGCAAGTGGCATGTTACATGTAAAAAATGCTTAGGACTTGGCCATAGGAGTAACTCACCAAAATGCCCTATGAATGGAACAAAAAAGAGGTAACTTCAACTTAGTTGTCATGTTTGATGTATATTATTGTTGATATGGCCTAATCTTGAACTACAAAAATTTATACAGGAAGAGCCGTGCGAAGCCAGGAAGGAAGCTTAGTTCAGGAAAAGAAGGAGGAGGCACAAGTACACCTAAAAGATAGAAAGTTGTAGTGAATGATGATGCACTGAACACAAGCCCTGCAATGAATACAAGAAGCAAACTTGCATTGATCAAGGAAGGTGGAGAGGAGACAAGTCAAGAGGTGAACACCCCCACCACTAGTCCAGTCAAGAAAAATAGAGCTGTTAAGAAGAAGCTCACTCCAAGAAAGGCAACCAACTAAATTTGGATATTGATGGATCCTTATATCCATGCTTTTGTTATTTGAACCTATTATGATATATGTGAACCTTTTATTATGTTGAAGTACACCAGTTTTTTGGATATTTTTTTTTATGTGAACCTTTTATATATGTTTTTGGATTTTTTTTTTTTTATCAGCCATCAACCTTTTATTATGTGAACCTTGTGTTTTTTATCAGCCATCAACCTTCGCAAGTCAGGATATATGTGAAAGTTTTTCTTCCTCTGTCTCGATTTTTTATCAGTTTTTTTTCTTTTTTTTTACTAAAATGCCCCCCTACTACACCTTAATTAAAAAACCACTATTCATAAGGGTATTTTGGGTAATGCACAAAAAATTATTTCCACCCACCCTTTCTCTCTTCCAACAGTAGACGATTTTGGAGGTATAAGGCCCAGGGGCAATACAGTCATCACCTAGAAAAATTGACATCAATAAACAATAAAAAAGAAAAAATGGTGAAAATAGGGGAGAGTCCCTCATATGCAAGGAATTCGTGTGTTGGATGTCAAATTTGCAAAGGCTTACGAATTTGGTGTCAAATTCAGTGGGGCGCGCGAATTGGGTGTCAATTATCAAAATTTCTCCTTTTTTTATATGCATTTTGTATTTACCAACTTCCTTTCAAATTAGAACTGTGACTAATATCAATGTTATTTGTTGGTATGCATAAATGTCACAAAATCTAGATTTTGTTATATTTATAATACAGGAGAAATTAGTGATTTAATTCTAGTAATTCTTATATTAAGCCTTTATGGTCCATTATATATATATCACTAGTATTATTCCGTGCATTTGCACGGGAAGCGACTGCCAACTACGTTTTTTCAACGGGCCAAATTTAATGAAGAAATTGCACAAAATAAAATTATTATTAAAAATAACAAAAAATATCTTCAAATATAGAAAAACTAAATTTAATAATTCTTTTAATGTCCAAAAAGATAAATTAGACAAAAATGTGAGGAGAGGTAATGCAAGCCTGAGATGATCGCCTACATTTTTTCTAACTACCTCCAAAAAGAATTTAGTAATTCTTTTAACGTCTAAAAAGATAAATATCTTCTAACTGCATAACACAATAAATAAATTATTGCCAATTTTAACATAATCAAACATTAATACCAAAGAGTTGTATATTTTGTGAAATAAGAAAATTAAAAGTGTAATAAATTGAAAAGTAACGTTTTTGGAGGAAATGTCACATAAGTATAATTAAATAAGTTTTATTTAATGCATTTGCTAACA